AGTGTTATTACAAAAGAGTCAAAAAGTTTAAAAAATTTAAAGCTTTATAAAGTAAAAAAGTTACAGTAAGCTAAAGTTAATTTATTCAAGAAAGAAAAGAAAAAAAAAATTGGGCATGGCGGCTGGGCACGTTGGCTGATGCCTGTAATCCCAGCATTTTGGGAGGCTGAAGTGGGGGGATCAGGAGATCAGGAGATCCAGACCATCCCGGCTAATATGGTGAAACCCTGTCTCTCTCCTAAAAAAAATGCAAAACATTAGCCAGATGTGGTGGAACGTGTCTATGGTCCCAGCTACTCAGGAGGCTGAGGCAGGAGAATCACTTGAACCCAGGAGGCGGAGGTTGCAGTGAGCCAAGATCACACCCCTGCATTCCATCCTGGGCGATAGAGGGAGACTCCATCTCAAAAAATAAAAAATAAAAATAAAAAATATAAATTTAGCGTAGCCTAAGTGTAGCGTGTTTATGAAGTCTACAGTAATGTAAAGTAGTGTTCTAGGCCTTCAATTCACTCACTACTCACTCACTGACTCACCCAGCGCCACTTCCAGTCCTGCAAGCTCCATTCATGATAAGCGCCCTATACATTCTTAATCTTTTACACCTTCTTTTTACTTTCCCTTTTCTATGTTTAGATATGTTTCATACACAAATATTTACCATTGGGTTACAGTTGCCTCCAGTATTCAGTACAGTAACAAGTACAGCTTTGTAGCCTAGGAGAACTAGGCTATACCATATAGCTTAGGTGTGTAGTAGACTGTACCATAAAAGTTTGAGTAAGGGCACTGTGATGTTCACACAACCACAACATTGCCTAATGATGCATTTCTCAGAGCATATCCTCACTGTTAAGTGATGTATGAGTATGTAATTACGCAGCAGTAGGTTACCAATAGATCCAGCCAAAATTATGATATACCTATAATGAGCATATGACCAACTTCTCAAAAATCTATCCACTTAAATACGTGAAGTGTATTTTCTGTGATCAAGTTAATATAGGGAGGCACTATAGTTTTTCTTTTTTTCTATTTCTCATAGTGATAGACTGATAATCTATAACCTGCATTCTTTGCATCCATGTTTAAAAATCAAAGCAAAGAATTCAAAAGCAAAAGAATTGTAGAGGTGGAAGGAAGCCAAGAGATTATATAATTTAAATACTTTTTGACCAAATAACAGAGTTTTAGAAATAGTAGGTGCTCGATAATTGTTTTGGTTCTTTATATATAACCTATATCTGTATATTATTAAGATGTTATTTAAAATTTGTATTTATCGGCCAGGTGTGGTGGCTCATGCCTGTAATCCCAGCACTTTGGGAGGCTGAGGTGGGTTCAGGAGTTCGAGGCCAGCCTGGCCAACGTGTTGAAACCCCATCTCTACTAAAGATACAAAAAATTAGCTGAGTGTGGTGGTGCACGCCTGTAATCCTAGCTACTTGGGAGGCTGAGGCAGGAGAATCGCTTGAACCTGGGAGGCGGAGGTTGCAGTGAGCTGAGAACGTGCCTGGGTGACAGGGTAAGACTTCGTCTCAAAAAAAAAAATGTACTTATCAAAGTAATGTTTATACATAAACAATCAAATATTACTAAACATCTCTATTTTCAAAAGCAACTCTTTTTTAAAACATTTTTTGGCCAGGCATGGTGACTCATGCCTATAATCCCAGCACTTTGGGAGGTCGAGGCAGGCAGATTGCTTAAATCCAGGACTTGCCTGGGCAACATGGTAAAACCCCGTCTCTACAAAAAATACAAAAATGAGTCGGGTGTGGTGGTGTGTGCCTGTAGTCTTAGCTACTCGGGAGGCTGAGGTGGGAGGATGCCTTGAGCCGGGAGGTGGAGGTTGCAGTGAGCTGTGATCATGCTACTGCACTGCAGCCTGGGTAACAGAGTGAAACCCTGGCTCACTTTCCCAACTCTTATCCCTTAAGGTAGCCACTTTTCCCATTTTAGCTTGCATCATTTGACAATTACCTTTATAATCCCAGATAATAAGCTTATACAATTGTGTCTTAATTTACTAACTTTAGATAGAGAATATTTAGTTATTCCCCATTATGGTCATTGAGAATTTCTTTCTTACTTCACTGTCTCTATTTTCTTAATAGAATTATGATTTTCAGTTAAACCAGTACTTAATATTTACCCTATTATGACAACAAATATTGCTCACTGCTGAGTCAAATAATGTACAGTGATTATTGCCCCTCATATAGATTTTTTTTGTTTTCTTAGAGTTAAATATTGCCTTTTCTTTCATTTGCTTAATTTTCTATATATACCCTGCTTTCATTCCTAATGCATCAACAGATCTGTTAAATGTCTGTCAGTAAGTATTTCCAACTCTCAGATCAAATAATTCATCAGTTCCATTTTTTTCATTCTAGAGACCTGCCTCCACAGCATTCTGTCTTCTTGCTCAAATCTGGCCAGGCTGCTCTCTATCCCAGATGTCCAGCTAGGAATTTCCTTAGCCATTCTGATTTGGGGATTGTTTTAAAAGAGAATTTGCCAATGTGCGTATGACTAGAATGAAGAAGCATTAATATTTTAAACAGAATCCTAAATTATTAATGTATACTGCTTCTATGTCCTGGATTCATGAGTCTATGAGATTACATAAAATAAGGTTACATTTGCTCTTTTTTTTTTTTTTTAAGAGATGGGGTTTCACCATGTTGTCCAGGCTGCTATTAAACTCCTGACCTCAGGTGATTCACCCGCCTTAGCCTCCCAAAGTGCTGGGATTACAGGTGTGAGCCACTGCGCCCGGCCACATTTGCTTTTGATGCCCAAATGATTATAGCTGAAGCTTTCATAGTTTGAATGTAAGATCTCAGCACCAAGGGCTTTGTAAAGTACCTGCTATGTTTTTCTGGAGGTCCCTAATAGGAATGTATTCACATGTGCTCACCAACTACTCTATCCGCTGGTTACCATGAAGTGGTTCCCATATTTTTCCTCTCCTGCTCCTGTCCCCTGGCCAGTGTATATTGCACTGGGTGCTTGTTGAAGGTACTTATAGTATCCTGAGACTTTGCTGAAGTTGCTTATCAGCTTAAGGAGATTTTGGGCTGAGACGATGGGGTCTTCTAAATACACAGTCATGTCGTCTGCAAATAGAGACAATTTGACTTCATCTTTTCCCAGTTGAATACTTTTTATTTCTTTTTCTTGCCTGATTGCCCTGGCCAGAACTTCCAATACTATGTTGAATAGGAGTGGTAAGAGAGGGCATCCTTGTCTAGTGCCAGATTTCAAAGGGAATGCTTCCAGTTTTTGTCCATTCAGTATATTGGCTGTGGGTTTGTCATAAATATCTCTTATTATTTTGATGTACGTTCCACTGATACCTAGTTTATTGAGAGTTTTTAGCATAAAGGGCTGTTGGATTTTGTCGGAGGCCTTCTCTGCATCTATTGAGATAATCATGTGTTTTTTGTCTTTGGTTCTGTTTATGTGATGGATTACGTTTATAGATCTGTGTATGTTGAACCAGCCTTGCATCCCAGGAATGAAGCTGACTTGATCGTGATGGATAAGCTTTTGATGTGCTCTTAGATTCAGTCTGCCAGTATTTTATTGAAGAATTTCACATTGATGTCCATCATGGATATTGGCCTGGGCTTTGGATTTGCCAGTGGTGTTTTCTCCTGGTGTTTCAGTTTCCAAGAATACTAAGGGGTTGTAGGCTTGATGGGATGTAATAAGAACAGCCCTTTCCCCAATCCCACATGATTTTCCCTCTTCCTTTCCTCCATTGCTCAATGTCCAGAGCCCACAAAGTTTCTTTCAGTTTCTGCCCCGTGCAGCCTTCTGCTTACTGACCTCCTCATCATGCTCCATCCAAACCAAAAAAAATCAACAGTCACAACCAATTGCTAACCATCCGTCTCTGCAGGGGTGACACAAAAGCTAAACAACTCAAAGACACAGCTCAACCACATAATTGATTACCAAGCTAAAATGCTTAACATTTATATTCTGGTGATTTTCTCAAGCCAGAGAAACAGTCAGCATTAATGCAAGATAAAGTGTCATTCTGGACACTACTTGCAACTTTCAAATGATGGGCCTCTTTTTGCTAGACATGATTTTTTAAACCTTAGAGTCTAAACTCAACTCAAGTATCATATTGCAAATTTTTAACTTTTAACCTCAAAGATTTTTCTCCTGGGAAAATTTGGAAATCTTCTATAGATACCTGTAAGTAATAAGATGGAATTGAAATACAAAATATTTTAGACTTTTCATTATGACCTTTCCCCTAGAAATTCTCAAACTTGCTGAGTTAGCATTTTAAAAGAATACTTAAAGGTGGATGTGCCACCAACAGAGAGATTTGTGATGAGACCACATCAGAGGAAAGACTTTATCTTGGGGGCTTTAAAGTACCACCATGCTGGTCTTTTAATTAAATGAGAGAATCAAAAACCATATTATTCCAGGAAGAAATTTCAGGGCGTGATACACAGGACCCTACATCATCTTCCCCTGACTCCCTGTCCAATGCAATTTCCCAACTATGCATTTCTACCCTTTCAATTTTCCAGTTTTCTCCACATAGTGGATGAGGATGATTGCATTCACAATTTACCCAACTAGTGAAAGGTAGAGCCAGGATTTTAACACAGGTCAATTTGACTTTGAAACTTGTGGTTCTTTCCTGCTTACTACATTGCCATGTGTCATGTTGGGTATATATAGAGATGTCCCTAAGGAAGAGGAGCTGCTGTGGGAGAATACCAAGCCATGTAGATTATCTGGGATTTCCCTGGCATATATAATAGTTCTTAGTATTATATACTCTGTGTTGAGGGAGGCCTTGGAGAGAATCCCCTGTGCAAGCAAACCTAATCCCAAACCTCACTGTCTCCCTCCTTTCATCTAATGTGTTTCTTCCATCCCTTTTTTGGAGAGAGGCCAAGTAACGGGTTGCTGATGCAGCATTCTGCTCCCCATGAGACATCTAAGTGGCAGACTGGGCTTACCTTTCCTATGACATCTGTTAACAGCTTGAGGGACAGAGGATCATGAACCAAAGCATCTGTGTAAAAGGAACCGAGGTATTTCTTTGGGTTCGTTGGGTTGTCCTGGGCACACAGATCTGGGCGCATGCTAAATCCATGGGAGATTCTTCCCACTGTGAAGGGGAAGGTACCACCTGCAAGTAAAACCCATGACTGAGGGGCTAGTCAACACTGGCCCCTCCTCGTAAAGGATTCCTTTCATCTTGATGTTACATGGAAGAAGTTACCGTTGCTCAACTGATTAACAGTAATTACAAAGGACCTATTTGTTCTGAACACTGGGAGATGATGGAAGAAATGACAATAACTCATCTAGAAATTCAGACTTGAGAAATTCACCCTAAAGAGAGAAGACAAATGTGTAAAGATATGCAATTAAGGCTTTCAAATATAGTGTGATTATAATCAAAATACTGAGACAGCATATCAGTTGGGGACCATCTAAATTATGATGGCATATCCATGAAATGTAAGGCCATACTCGAAGCCATCAAAAATGATGAAGCTCTGTATTTGTTGACATGGAAAGATGTCTTCTCTATGCTGTTGAGAAGGAAAGGCATAGAGAGTAACATGTATAGTTTGATATTTTGCGAGTGTGTGTGTGTGTGTGTGTGTGTGTGTGTGTGTGTCTGTGTCTATGTGTCTGTGTCTGTTGAAGGGTCACAAATTCAGTTACCTACAGGGACCAGGCAGGCAGTGTAAATGAATGAAATAGGCCTATTTGTAAACAATGAAAAATAGTAGGGACTATTGCAGACTGGAGAGCTCATGATCTAACTAGAGGGATTTAAATCAAGAACAGAAAAAGTAAAACAAAAATGGTGACAACAAAACTAAACTTGCCTACAAAAATAGAATTTGGTCCCTAAACCATCATGTGACTAGAATGATGGCTGGAAGGAGGCGATGAACTGAATCGTATTCCTTCAAAATTCATATGCTGAAACCCTAATGCCAAATTTGACTATACTTGGAGAAAGGACCTTTAAGGAGGTAATTAAGGTTACATGAGGTCATAAGGTGGGGCCTTAATCCAATAGGACTGGTGTACTGATGTCCTTGTAAGAAGAGGAGGAGAAACCAAAGGCCATGTGAGGAAGGTGGCCATCTGCAAGCTAGGAAGAGAGCCCTCACTAGAAACCAACCCTGCCAACATCGTGATCTTGAACTTCTAGCCTCCAGGTCTGTGAGAAAGTAAATTTCTGTTGTCGTACAGTCACCCAAATCTGTGGTATTTTGTTATGACAGCCTGAGCTGACTAATAAAGATAGGGTCTTACCGCCATGTGCGAAACACACTTTCAGTTTAGGAAACTTCTCAAACACTCCACCCATGATCATGGAACAAATGGCTATTGTGGTCTCTGTTGGCATTCCTGGAAGAGGAAATAGTTGCAAGGATCAGGGATGATCACCCCACACAAGAAGAAGTTCAGTGATGTTATTGGCTGGGGAATTGTCAGTGCAAAGAAACTTGAGGCCCCTGTACCCTGGCATTGTATGGCTGTAATATAGGGCATTACTTTGGCAAGGAGAACCAAGTAAAATGTCCTATTTGCCACTTGCAGGGAGAGTCGTCTAATCGCTAGAGCAGTTGAGGAGCAAAGGACCTGGCGTTTGCCTTAATTCTCCCAACTTCAGTTTGGGATGCAATGAGACAGATAGAGTACGCCGAGTCCGAGCTGAGCCCTAGCTCCTCCAGTTTCTGCTTCGTGGCCTCTGGCAAGTTATTTCATGGCTCTGAGCCTGTGCTTCGTCTGTAAGATGACGTTTATGTTGCCCATTTTGCAAGACTATTGTGGAGCCTTGTGAATAATGATGTCAGCCAAGTTCCTGGACAGAACTTCACAATGGAGATGCTCAACACAAATATTAGTTGCCTCTCTCAATTTCCTCATCTGTAATATGGCAAGTTCCTGCAGTGGGTTGTTTTGAGGATTTGGTAGACAGCACCTGGCATTTAGTAAAGGGTCACTAAACAGTGACTATCGTTATGATCATTCCTACCAAATCTTTGCTGCCTCTTGTAGCTGAGGTTGAAAATAACTGGATTAAAATGAATTATTTCAAGTGCTTTGCGCTCCTAGGAGAAGCAGCTGGTCCATGTGTAATGTCTTTACCCCTGAGGAGCCAGTCCAAGCTGCATTGCCACTGACTGCTTTTCAGACCATGACTCAGAAATCTGACCGCTCTACAGCTGTGCACTGTACCTTCTGGGGAAGCCTGACTCTGTAGGCTGTGGAGTGAGGCTTCACAGGATGCTCATTCTGCCTGGGGCTGGTCACTGCTTCACAGGCAGAGATACCCCTAGCACCGCCTGCCTGGGAATTCTGGAAGCATGATGAATTTATACCCATTTAGGAGAAGTTTGTGGGCAGAGCTTCCTGAAGGCAGAGAGATGGATGGCATCATTTTCTTCTAGTTACGTGATTCTATTTTCCAGTAATCACTTGAACCATAACCCCACAATCCATTCTCTATGCAGGAGTCAGAGTTACATTTACAGTGTGAATTGGATTATGACCCTTCTTTGCTGAGAATCCTCCACTCCACTAATAACTACCTTTGCATCCAGAATAAAATTCCAAAATTAGCCTGTTTGCTTGTGATATATATATATATATATATATATATATATATATATATACACTTGTTTAGAATCTCCTTCCTCTGACCAGAATATAAGCTTCATGAAGGCAGAGATTTTGTTCATGTCTATATCCTCAGTGACTGGGACAGGGCGTGGCATGCTAGAAGGAATCAGTGTATTTGTGCTGCATAAATGGATGATGAAATGACTCTATATGCAGATGCTCTCCTGTTGCAGTATAAATAAGCTTATGGGACTTATCAAAGTTTTGTGAATAAGGGTGACATTTTTCTTGGAAGCTCGACAGTATCTGGGCATCTTGGGTTATCTCGTTCTATTAGTTACTGCCCAAGAATTTGGTGGAATGAGTAGGAAACTGCTTTACTAAATATTTTGGTTCCCAACAACAATCACAGGAATATATAAAACATCAGAGCAGAAAGAGACCTTTGGGGGAATCCAGATCAGCATTCTCATTTTACGGATGAGGGACTGGGGCCCGTGGAGGTAAAGTGATTTACTACAGGAAATACAGTGAAATAGACACTAAGCTGGAACTAAAATTCCATTTTTTGACTTACAGTATATTGCCCCATTTTGATTCTACATGGTGATTGCCATTTTGACTACTTCATAACTACTAATCGTACTAATTGGGCTGAGGAGAGAAAGAAGAATGGTCTCCTTAAAGAAAATCCAGTTCTGGTGCTGTGGCTCACACCTGTAATCCCATCACTTTGGGAAGCTGAGGTGGGTGGATCACTTGAGGCCAAGAACTCGAGACCAGACTGGCCAAACATGGTGAAACCCTGTCTCTACTAAAAATACAAAAATTAGCAGGGCGTGGCATTGCACCTCTGTAATCCCAGCTATTTGGAAGGCTGAGGCAGGCTTGAACCTGGGAGGTGGAGGTTGCAGTGAGCGGAGATTGTGCCACATACTCCAGCCTAGGAAACAGAGTGAGACCTTGTCTCAAAA